GCATGAGCAAGCAGCCTTGATCCCCAAAGTATCCACTATTGTAGTACCAGTGCCCCTTCCTCAGCTGACATTTTATTTTATAGGTGATCCTGTATGACGAGATGGAGGAGGAATAAAAAGCCTAAGCCTGATTTACAGATGAGATGGCTCAGTATATGGGTAAAGCCAAAAATGGGTAGCAGGTGAATTGAAACCTTACTTATGGGTGGTCTTGAAAGACAATGGCAAGGGAAAACCATCTCAATGAACAGATCTTCAGTGGTGCACCTTGTCATTCACTTTGTGTAGAAAGAGAAGAGGCCTTAGGATTGAATAGATATGGAATCATGGGCAGCGATGAAAGGCCTGGTCAGCCGGTTAGAGGCATGAATGGGGAAAAATTTTAAGATTGAGGACAAAAATGTCTGCGTTAGAGGTATGTAGATGGACACATGGGAGTGGGAAAGAAGTGTTAAATCTTTGAGTCACATATTAACACTAAGAGCACACCCGCCATGGAAGAGGCATTGAACAATCAAGTGGACAAAACAACCATTCCAGTTAAAGTCAGGTAGCCCATGCATTGGCCACTCCAGTGTTGGCACAATGGGTACATGAAAGAAGTAGCCACAATGATAGAAATGGAGGCTATACATGGGTTCAACAGCATGAACTCTCCATTTACCAAGGCTGGTCTAGCTATTGCCACCACTGAATGTCCCAACTTATCAGCAACAAAGAGCAATGCTTAGCACTCAATAACATTCCTCAAAGAGCTCAATGGGCCACTTGCTGGCAAGTTGTTATTTTAGGTCCTTTCAATTCTGGAAGAGCTACAGATGCATTCTCATAGGGACAGACATGTATTTTATATATTTTTACCTTTTCTGTCTACAGGACTTCAGCCAGCACCATTGTTTTAAGGGCCATGGAGTATGTGATTCCCTGGCATTCCCTCTCTCACTGTGTCTCTGTCAAATAAATAAATAAAATCTTTAAAAAAAGAAAAAAAAGACTAACCACCACCAAGCAAGCCCCAGGACTTGGTAGCTGAGTAAAAGGAATCTAGCAGGGATAGAAGAGAAAGATTATGAGTATCAGTGGTGGCCCTGAGACAAACTGCAGAGGCTAACTTTTCCCTACTAAGTTTTCCCTCAGGAACAGAGCAAGGTGGGTGCTTTAAAAAAGGCCCAGCAATATCTAACCCTCATGGGTAATTCTCATTCCAGAATTCCTCACTAGTTTGGCCAGGGAGTTGCTGGGCCTGCATCATAGTTCCATTTCCTTCTTGCATCTTAAACTCCATCTCAGAATCTGCTGATGCCATATGCAACAACCCTATACCACGGGAACTCTAGAAACTTTATCAGTATGACAGACTCCTAAATAATTTTTGTGAGATTTATCTCCCACCTTCTGGCATGCATTATTTTACTTAGGCATCCAGGAAACTTCTACTTCATGCTCCCTAGGTCCCAATAGTATAATGCCATCAAAATAATGAACAAGATGTTGTATGGAATTTCATAATAAAAAGTAAGAAACTTTATTTTACTATGTCACAGAGGAGGATTGACATAGCCCTAGGATAAAATACTAAAGGTATAATGCTATCTCTACTAGGTAAAGGCAAACTGTATCTGATTGCCCTTATTCATTAGAAATGAGAAAAAATTTTGCACCCACCCAACAGATAAGTTAATGGGGATAATAATTACCACGTGGATGAAAGTCCAAGCAGGAAAGAGATGACATACTGAAATTGAGTAATTTATTTTTTTTTAAAGGTTTATTTATTTTAGAGAGAGAGAGAGCAAGCGAGTGCACGGGGCAGAGGGAGAGGGGGAGCAGACTCCCCACTGAGTGCGGACTGCATCTCACAACCCTGAGATCATGACTGAGCTGAAAACAAGAGTCCCACACTTAACCAACTGTGCCATTCAGGCGCCCCCTGAAACTGAGTAATTTAAAGATTTATGAAGATGTGGGAAGGGTTTAAGGTATCAGTAGCAACAGAGGTGAGCTGTTACCAATCCTGGACCTGAAGTGATAAGAGGAAGAACTCCAATTCCTAGAAAGGGTATCTACATGGAGAAGGCCTATGACAGGAGCTGTGGCCAACAGTGAGTCCACAACATGAAAGCCAGGAGAATGAATATCTTGAGTTTACTTTCCTGTCATCCTCTTATCTTATGCTACTATTTCTGATTGGCCAAACTAAACCAGAAGTCAGAGGGCTAGGGAACCCACTGAATATCCTTTTATATAGACAGTACTACCTGTAGACCAGAGCAAGGCAAGACCCACCTTGGGTCCCATGCTTGAAAAATATACACATATCATGAATCCATTAAAAAAAAAAATATTGGGGCGCCTGGGTGGCTCAGTCGTTAAGCGTCTGCCTTCAGCTCAGGTCATGATCCCGGGGTCCTGGGATGCAGCCCTGTGTCTCGGGCTCCCTGCTCCGTGGGAAGCCTGCTTCTCCCTCTCCCACTCCCTCTGCTTGTGTTCCCTCTCTCGCTGTGTCTCTCTGTCAAATAAATAAATATAATCTTTTAAAAAATATTAAAGAACACATGGATAAATCAGGATTTGTGCTATCAGGATTTAGTGGTCAGGATTTAGTGGTATTTGTACAGTGAAACTAAACTTTCAACATCCACTCTCATAGTGAATACTGCTCAGGCTTTTGGGAAATACTTCACATCTCATGTCTCTTATCTTTGAAATAAAATGTGGGTGCATCTAAATGCTATAAAGTTTGTAGGTTGTGCTCCTACTAAAGTTGGAGAAGAATATATGAGTGGAAAGAGGATTTGAGCAAGCAGATAAAATAGATAAATTAATTTGTCAAGTCTTTGTTCTCGGTAGCATAAACACAATAGATTCTTGCATAATGAAGTATCATTTCCCAGCAGTGTTGAGCAATCATTTTCCTCTTCTCTTCGGGTTCCAATTAATGAACTAGAAGCACTCAAGAATTATTGTGGTGACCACAATGATTACAACAGGCAGCTTAGGAACAATTTTCTATATTAAACTATTCTTACATTTTAAATAGTATAGATGCAGATCTAGACATAATATAAGCAAAATGTGGTACCAGTTCTTTATATTACTGCACAGATACAGTTATTGCTTTGAGAAATGGTGAAAAATCACAATGTAAGTGATACAACTGTTATGAAGAATTTAAACTATTTTATAATATTTCCTGCAATAAAAATATTACCATTTGCAATAATTCCATTACAGTCTAATACAATAGGTAAAATTCATGGTTCATTTCTGAATCTAAATATTACTTTTAAAATTTTATTGATAGGGACACCTGGGTGGCTCAGTCGATTAAGCATCTGCCTTCAGCTCAGGTCATGATCTCCAGGTCCTGGGATCGAGCCCAATGTCAGGCTCCCAGCTCAGTGGGGGGTCTGCTTCTCCCTCTCCCTCTGACTCTCCCCGCTTGTGCTCCCTCACACTCTCTCTCTCAACATGAATAAAATATTTTGAAAAATAAAATAAAATTTTATTGATAATTCCAGTTGCTATTGACTCAACAGAGCAAAATTTCTCCAATTTAAAAGAATTAGGGGCACCTGGGTGGCTCAGTCGTTAAGCATCTGCCTTCAGCTCAGGTCATGATCCCAGGCTCCTGGGATCGAGTCCCGCATCGGGCTCCCTGCTCTGCGGGGAAGCCTGCTTCTCCCTCTTCCTCTGCCATTCCCCCCATTTATGCTCTCTGGCTCGCTCTCTGTCAAATAAATAAAATTTTAAAAATAAACAAATAAATAAATGAATTTAAAAACTATCCTTTATATGAATTATGCCTCAATAAACCTGAAAAGATTATTTTAAAAAAATCTATCCAAGAAATACTATGACCCAAGGCAGGCTAATTTGGCATTAGTGCCAATAGAACATAAAAGATGTGAAATCTTGATTATAAAAATAGGGATATTGCTGAAATGAAGGGAATAAAATTAATTTTATAGAATAAATAATTTATGAATTATGTGTCTATATGTGTCTATATTTTGGTTTTTCCCCAAACAAAATGAGTGTTTATAGAACATTCAGACATATGCAATAGTTATGTTAAGCTGTTTTTGTTAGTTTATTGACTTTCAATCATAAAAACCATAGCTTTACATATGTTTTAATTTTGTCATTATGAAGGTATATTTTTAGGGCAGAAAGATAGAATATCATTTATGTAACAGTTTGTTAACTTCCTTTGTGAGTTGTAAGTATTTTGACATGTCAACAAAATCCATACCAACATCCCCATCTCCCTAAACCTGTAGACTTCTTTCCTCTACAGCAGGAGCCCATAAGCCTTTTCCTATAAAGGACCAGATAATAAATATTTTTAGGCTTTGAGAGCCATATGGTCCGGTCACAATGACTCAGTTCTGCCATTGTAGCATGAAAGCAGCCATAGACAATACATAAATAAATGAGCATAGTGTCTTCCCATAAAACTTGATTTAGAAAGATAGATGGGGCCCCACAATCCTTAGTTTGTTGACCCCTGTAAAACAGTATGCCAGGATATATCTGGCATCTCAACTAGAATGTCTTGGCCAGTACTGAATCCAGGCTTCAGTTAACCAAATAAGCACATTCAGATCCAATATCAGGTGCTCAAGCTAACACTCAAATCTCAAATCCTGAATGAATGAAACTATATAAATATACTTGGCCCTTACTAGCCTTTATTTATTTATTTTTTTAAGTTTTTACTTAAAAAAAACTTAAGATTACTTAAGTAATCTCTACACCCAATGTGGGGCTCGAACTCATGACCCTGAGATCAGGAGTTGCATGCTCTTCTGAGTCAGTCAAATGCCCCTGTTTTATTTTTTAAACAGATATACCTAGAATCCACCCCAATACATGCTTCCTCGGTTCTCTCTGACACAAGATCTTACCCTTTGTTTGATGCATAAGCCAGTGTTCTGCCCCAGGTTCAGACAAAAGGGGGTGCACTGTGTGTAGAGAATTTTATTTTATTATTTTTTTAAAACATGGAATACTTCACGAATTTGAGTGTCATCCTTGCTCAGTGGCCATGTTAATTTTCTCTGTATCGCTCCAATTTTAGTATACATGCTCCCGAAGCAAGCAAGCAAGTGTAGAGAATTTTAAAGCAATAATAAACCAACTAAATGTCTTCTGCTTTTTTTTTTTTCTAAGATTTTGTTTATTTATTCATGAGAGACAGAGAGAGAGAGAGAGAGAGGCAGAGGGAGAAGCAGGCTCCCAAAGAGCAGGGAGCCCCATGCGGGACTCGATCCCAGGACCCTGGGATCATGACCCGAGCCGAAGGCAGACGCTTAACCATCTGAGCCACCCAGGTGCCCTGTCTTCTGCTTTTTATTATCACAATGTGCTGGCAATTGTAAAAATGTCGGTCATAAAGTCCTCCATTCTGCTGGGGGTGCTCCATCAGCAGCCTCTTTTTCTTGAAATGCCACTGTTAGGTTATTTCCTCTAGGAACTGAACAGGCATTTCTCTTCATGGGTCATGAGGAGTTTAATTTTCTTTATGGGCCTGGAGATAACGAGGGGAAATGGGAGTTCTTCTTCAGGATAATAGGCAGTCCCTTGTGATGTAACTGACCCAAGAGAAGTTTCTGAAAGACTTTTCTGTGAGAAAAGGTAGCTTCCTCAACAAGAGGACAGATAGTGAGGTTCAGAGGAACTTGGGGTTTGGGCTGTGTCTTGCATTGACCAAATGTCCTGATCTCAGAGTTCTATTCCTTTTCCAACAGTGTTCTAACTTTAGAATAAGAGGCTTTGACACTGTTGTGCTTTTAAGTAGGAATTGAAACTCTACAACCTGTACAATTAGATTTTGGGGACTTATATTCAGCCATATCAGTCCTGCAGCTGCACAAGATAAGAAATCCTTTTGAGAGCACCATAGAAGGTTTCCGGTTCTTCATCTCTATCTTATTTTGAGAATTCAGGGCCTTAAGTTTATTTTTCCACTTTCATAAGATCTGTAATGCAGTTAGAAATAGCCATCCACTTCACAGTCTTTCGTAATCCCTACTGTTGTCATCAAGAATTATGTGACCACCCAAAGTTTTATCCCCTACCTGAATTCCATCCCATGCCACCATCAGTGATAATCTGAATAATCTTGTTGCCATTGCATTCCACAGACTATCAAGGGCGGATGTCTGTCATTCATGAGGTTGTCAGATATGTATTTAACCTGGCCCAGGATTGATGTTTCAAGGGGCCATTCTTGTTTTGAAAACAGTATTTAACTCAGATGGTTCAAAAGATTTTAATGAAGGAACTATATACAGAGGTGTGAGCAAGGTTAAGAGACAACAAGGGATGCTGAAATATCCAGAGACTAGCAGCAGGGGAAACCATTATCAATCCTAGATCTGAAGGGTCAAGGAGAGAAAATAATAGTACTGTTGCTTAGAGAGGGCTGGAGGATCACAGGAGGAGACTACCTCAAAAGCTGTAGGCAGAGAGGGATATGGCGCCTGCGGGATAACATGGCTCAGAGCTGAGTGAGGAGCAAAAAGGAAGCTTCTAAACCTGCTTTCTTCTCAGCCTCAGCGTACTGATGCTTCTTATAGGTGGAACCCAACTGGAGGCAAGTTTATAAGGGAGACCAGTTGGTGTAGTCTGCAGGAATTAGCTCCAAGTCACAATACAGGGCAAAGAATGCAGAGAATGCTCTGAGGATATGTGGGAGGGTGGAGAGTGGCGAACAATCAGCAAAAAGATGTTTCCATTTCTAATTCTTTCTTTTCAGTAAAAGAGAAAGAGGACCTAATTGAGATGTGAAGGTGAGGTAACAGACCATTAAATATAAAATAAACATGGGGCGCCTGGTTGGCTCAGTCGGTTAAGGGTCTGCCTTCGGCTCAGGTCATTATCTCGGAGTCCTGGGATTGAACCCCACGTCAGGCTCCCTGCTCAGCTGGGAGTCTGCTTCTCCCTCTCTCTCTGCCTGCCATTCCCCCTGCTTATACTCTCTCTCTCTCTGTCAAATAAATAAATAAAATCTTAAAAATACATGCATATAAAATAAACATAGTCGTATATATATAAAATCCTAGTTAATCTTATTTTTATATGATTTTTGGTCTGTCCAAAGTACTGCAAAAAAATAATGTTGCTATAAAACAAATAATGTTGCTATAAAAATGTCCCATCTTATTATTTTTGTGAAAAAGTTTTCTTAGGGCTTACATGTATTAAAACAAAAAACAGGAACAGTTGATATTGAATCATGGCTAATATTAGCAACAAACAATATTCACTCATAAATACATGAACTAATTGAAAAAGGGCCCATCCATCTGGAGAGATGCATTTCCAATAGAATTTTACTTACATTTACTACTTTATCAAATTTTGTTATTATTTTTTTTACCAATTGTCTAACAAAATTGTAATGACAACTTGATCCTGAAGAAATATTTAAGAGTTTTAAGGGGTGCCTGGATGGCTCAGTTAAGAGTCTGTCTTAGGCTCAGGTCCATGATCCCAGGGTCCTGGGATCTCTGCTCAGTGGGGAGTCTGCTTCTCCCTCTCCTTCTGCCTGCAGCTCTGCCTGCTTGTGTTCTCTCTCTGTCAACTAAATAAATAAAATCTTAAAAAAAAAAGAGTTTTAAAATTTTAAATATTTTATATTTTAAAATATTTTATTCAAAAGTTTAAATCTTTAAAAAGTATTTCCTAAGAGTTTTAAAACACGAGTTTAGGGGCGCCTGGGTGGCTTAGTTGGTTAAGCGACTGCCTTCGGCTCAGGTCATGATCCTGGAGTTCCGGGATCGAGTCCCACATCGGGCTCCCTGCTTAGTTCCCTGCTTAGCTCCCTCCCTCTGACCCTCCTCCCTCTCATGCTCTCTGTCTCTCATTCTCTCTCTCGCAAATAAATAAAATCTTTAAAAAAATAATAATAAAATATAACACGAGTTTAAAGTCACAGAATTGAAGTGTATTTTAAAATTCAAAATGTATACATGTTGAGAACTATGACTGGTGATGAAAAAATTACTTTAAAGAATAAACATACTTTAGGATAAAACTCTGTAGGATAAGTGAAATGGAAATAAGTTCAAAAAAAGGAACCATGGGGGGAAAAAATGAAAGAAAAAGGAGCCATGGAAAATTTCCAGCTCTTCACAAAGAATGTGTGTATTTAAAAAATGTTTGATGATAGTCATCACATCACTATAGTATTTAAATTCCTTTTTATACATTTAAAAGAGAGATATAATTTTAAAATGTGAATATTTATAATATACTGGAAATTTAATCCTTTAAAGTCAAGATAAAAATTTTAGATGTCAACACCAAAATGTGTGAAAGCAAACACATGGTTTCACAAAATATTTTTAGGTAGTATCTGGGCAAAAGTTTGAACACAAGAGGAGGTAGTTGCATAGTTTTAGAGACTCAATCTCTAAAATATTGTGTGTCTTGCTCAGCCTCTGTAATCTGTCTCTTTTCACAGACCCTCAAAGTTCAGAGGGTCTGTGGCAATATAAAGGTTAATTTAGAACCTAAAGGGGAGTCCAGATATCCTTGAATATTAGTGTCTAGGATTACTGTTACTTAACTCTACTAGGCACTTAAAAAATCTGATGTTTACTGTTTTGAAAACCTATTTGGAATATGATTTACACGGGAAATGTCTTTAAAATTCCAAAGAAGATATTTAAAAATGAATGATGGAAACACATCTATACACAGGGAACTAGAGTTAAAAGTACAATTTCTGCCAAATGAAATATCACATAGCAACATTTTGTTCCATTTGCTATAGATGCCAAAAGAGTTGGCATTTTCAATGAGATATGTTTCATGCTTAAGCAGTAAGTCATTTATCATAGATGTTCTAAAATGCAATCTCGAATGATTTGTCTTACCGAATTGCTGCCTTTGTGTGTATGTGAGACAGAGTGAGAGAGACAGACTTTATACCGTTAAAACTATATACCGTTAAAACTATAAAATCTGTACTTTTAGGAGCGTTCACTAAATGGAGCACCAGTAAGTAATGGGCCTTGCTTTACATTATCCATAATCAAAACTTGAATCATGTGACAGAGAAGAGGGATCTTAGGGTATTTTTATGCTCAGAACAACTAGTGCTAAATACTAACGAGCATTTTGCCAGGAGCTGTGCTAAGTACTTTTCATAAAATATCCGATTTATTTCTGCGGGCAACTCTGTGTGGTATTATTTCCATTGTTTTACACGAAGGAGATGGAAGCTTAGAAATTTCAATTTCCTGCAACTCTAGCGGAAGTTACCCATCACTGAACAGTTCACTGCCTTCACTCATGAGAAAAAGTGTCTAGGAATCACATTTATTAGCACATCAAATATAATTCTTTCGCGAAACAAGGAGCATCTAACAGCGCTTGACTCTGACATTTCCCAGCCCAGGTTAGCTTGGGTCAGTGGTTCTCACTGAGGTCAACAGCTTTGTTAAATAAAACACATACCCCTCTCGCTCCCAGAGTCCGAGTCCGTAGGTCTAGGATAGGGTAGAGAAATCAGCGTTTCTAGCAAGTTCCCCGGTGCTGCTATTGGTGCTGTTGTTCCGGGGGCCACACTGTGAGAATCTCTGGTTTACGGGTTTTTTGTTTTTTACAGATTTTATTTACTTATTTGAGAAAGAGCATTGGGGGGGGCGGTCAAGGGAGAAGCAGACTCCCTGCTGAGCAGAAAAGCCCCACGCGGGACTCGATCCTAGTACTCCACGATCATGACCTGAGCCGGAGGCAGCCGCTTAACCGGCTGAGGCACCCAGGCGCCCCTGGTTTACGGGTTTTAATCTTAAATCCACTGGGAAAGTGTTGGTCAGGGCAGAGCGATGGTAACCGCTAACGTGTTTTAGGAGCCCGGACTCCGCTTTCCCCTGCGGCTCCGACCCCAAGGCCTGGGGACGCGCCATGATGCCGCGTCGGCCGTCACCTCCGCCCTGGGGTGCGTCCCCAGCCTCGCCGCCCACCCTCGGCGCTCCATTGCTCTCCCCGCCAGCCCCGCCTGTCCCGGCCCCGCCCCCGGCGGCCCATTGGCTCGCAGGTCCACCGGGCGCCTCCGCCCACACGCCCATTCCGCAGAACTGGCCAGGCTGAGGCGCTGCTCCCCGAGCGCGGGATCGGAGACGTGGCTCCCGGGCGGAAGAACCATGTTGGACTTCGCGATCTTCGCCGTTACCTTCCTGCTGGCGTTGGTGGCAGCGGTGCTCTACCTCTACCCGGTAACCGCCGTCTCGGCCTCTGGGGTTCTGGCCGCTGCCCCAGCCTTTGTGTTTCCCGCACCCACGTCGCTCTGCACGCAGTGGGCCGCAGGGGGTGGGCCGGAGGGTAGGGTTCCCGCCCTCGCTCCGGCTCCCGCTACGCGCGGGGGCAGCTCCCGAGCAAGTGACGCTTAGCGGGCGCGCGCGCGCGCGGGCAGCGCTGGAAAGCGAGCGGCGCGGGCTGCTCCACGACCCCTCAGGCGCCGCGAGCTCAAAGGGCCGTGGCCGCCTGGGTTCTTAGTGCCCTGCTCCCGGAATTGCCACGCCTCTGTTACAGCCTGCGCGAAATGTACTTTTGGGTGTTTTTTTGGCAATAACTGTGCCAAACCCAAATTATATTTTCCAGTGTGTCTGGGAGGAAACTTGAGGATGCTCCTCTCCTTTGTCCTTTCCCGAGGATTCTCCCAGCATTTTTTTGCGGCTTCTGCCTTCCCATCCATCTTTTCATCTGTTTATGACTGAAATCCAGAGTCCTTAAGGTCCAGACCGGTCTTGCTCTTCGCAGGGCCTCAGAAGCAAATGGAACCGTGGAATGAGCATTGCCGTGGGTTAGTGCGTGCGCTTGACGTAGCCGCTGGGCTTCAGCTCTGAATCTCGTTCTAGCCTCCTTTTCTCTCCTTGCCTTTGTCAGCCTCAGAGGGTGATTCTGAGAAAGAAAGGAGCTAGTAGGTGAGCAATCATCTCTTCGCCGGTCTACAAAACAAGGGGGTGTTTTTGTGGAAAAAGTTGTAAAGTAACGGAACACGCCAAAACATCACTGATAATGACCTAAGACCTTCTTAAATGTCCTTTTCAGAGCTGGTAAATAGATCAGATTGGAATATTGTAACTACACAATCCGGAACATCCGGTATCTTTTTTTTTTTCCTGAGAAACGAGACGTTTAATGGTTCCAGATCTTGAATTTTTTATAATCTTTAAGTGAGACTGTCCTTTGATTAGTTAATAGAAGGCAACACTGTTTATTTCAACCAAATACGTGTGCCAAGTATGGTTCCATGTACTGGGAATACAGCAGTGACAGCTAGGCAGGAAACTCCTGACTGAATGTATATTCTGGTGAGAGGAAATAGGTAATCTAAACCAGAAACACAAATGGTATTTTAGTATTAAGCATTATGGAGCAAAATAAAGTTGGTAACAGGTAGGGTTGTTACTTTAAAGTAGGACGGTCAGTTTTTTTAAGGAGCTCCATACTGTTTTCCAGAGTGGCCACACTACCTTGCATTCCCACCAGCAGTGCCAAAGGGTTCCCTTTTCTCCACATCCTTGCCAACACTTCTTTCTTGTGTAGAACTACCCTGTGATCCAGTAATTGCACTACTGGGTATTTACTCCCAAAATGCAAAAACACTAGTTAAGGGGTGTACGTGCATCTCTATTCTATAGCAGCATTATTTATAATAGCCAATTTATGGAAGCAGCACAGGTGTCTGTCAATAGATGAACAGATAAAGAGGATGTATATACACACGAATACTATTCAGCCACAAAAAAGAATGAAATCTTGCCATTTGCAATGACATGGATGGAGCCAGAGGGTATAATGCTAAGTGAAAGAAGTCAGAGAAAGACATACCATGTGATTTCACTTATATGTGGAATTTAAGAAACAAAGCAAAAAAAGAGAAAAGGAAAAGAGGAAGGCAAACTAAGAAACAGACTCTTAACTATAGAGAACAAACTGATAGTTACCAGAAGGGAGATGGGCAGGGGGATGGGTGAGATAGGTGATGGGGATTAAGGAGTGCACTTGTCTTGATGAACACCAAGTGTTGTATAGAAGTGTTGAATCACTATATGGTATACCTGAAACTAATGTTACACCGTAGGTTAATTATACTGGAGTTAAAAGAAAAAGTAGGATGGTCAAGAGATAAGGAGAAATTTGAATGGAGACCTGAAGGGGATGAGGGAACAAGCCATTCAGGTATCTGAGAAAACATTCCAGACAAAGGGAATAGCAAATGCACATCTTCAGGGGGAACCATACTAGTGTGTTCCAGGAAAATAAGAAGACTAGTGTGGCTGGAGTGGAGTGAGGAAAAGACTAGTCAGTTAAAATCAGAATGATGGGGAGGGAGGGCAGATTTTTGTGGCAGGCCGGTTTATGGACTTGGCTTTTATTCTGAGGTAAGCCACTGGAGGGTTTCAACAGAAGAGTGACATTTTTTTTTTTATTCTTATGTTAATCCCCATACATTACATCATTAGTTTTAGATGAAGTGTTCCATGATTCATTGTTTGTGCATAACACCCAGTGCTCCATGCAGAACGTGCCCTCCTCAATACCCACCACCAGGCTAACCCATCCTCCCACCCCCCTCCCCTCTAGAACCCTGTTTGTTTTTCAGAGTCCATCGTCTCTCATGGTTCGTCTACCCCTCCGATTTCCCCCGCTTCATTCTTCCCCTCCCCCTACCTTCTTCTTCTTCTTTTTTTTTTTTTCAGAAGAGTGACATTTTAAATGTAAGGGAATTAAAATTTAGTTTTACTAGTTAAATTTTAAAAGAATCATTTTGACTGCTATGTTAAGACGAGACTTAGGGGCCTGGGGCAAGGGTAGAAGTGGGCAGAGTAGTTTGGCTGTTATAATAATTTTGGTGAGATAAGGAGCTGGCTTGGACCAAGGTAGGGGTAGCAGAGTGGTAACAGAGATAGAGGTAACAGAGGAGCAATGAGGGGAATGTTTCATTTGGAGCATAGCCAGTTCATCCACAGTAACAGGAAAGAGGGCGGAATATATGGGCACACATGTAGGCAGATGGTAGTGTGGTGTGGAAGTTATCTCCTGATTGCTTTCATTTTTTCAGTGGAATAGAAGCAAGATTATCAGTTAATGGTGAGGATAGGGGATTTAAAGAGAGAGAAGGAGCAAAATAGCCATCTAGAAGATTATGGAGTGGACTAGGGAAGTGTATGACTTCCAGGCAGCTCACTTGAGGTTCATGAAATTAAAATAAGACTCTTCAGCGTGGTTGTGTTTTTTTCTTCAGCTGTGTGGGTTCAGGGGCAGTTGATCACATGTTGGATTTAATTAGAATTGGTGTTTTGCTATGATACCAGGATACAGGGTGAAGTAATGTTTCTAATGACAGACCATGGAATCTGAGCTGGGTAAAGTGGAAAATGAATATATGAGTGGGTGATTTAAAAGTACTTTTGGGGTAAAAATAGTTTTTGGAGTGAAGATACTAAAAATAAAATAGTGAGAAGGAAAGATGGGAGGTGCTTGGAGATTCGGATGCTTGATGTTAAAACTCTGGAGATGTTGAAGTTTTTGGTCATGTCAACCCTGCACCCATCCTTTCTTCTTCTTTTTCTTTCTTTTTTTTTTTTTTCCCTGAATGTACCTTTTCTTAAACTAAGATTGTAGAATTACAAAATTCCTTCAACCTTGGAACCTTAAGTAGGATGCCGTCAAATGGACTGATTTTAGTCCTTAGGGAGACAATGCGTGTTGCTGCCTATTTAAATACAATTCAGCTGGAGCCCCAAGAGTGTCAGTGTACTGCCTTGCTTTCCAGATGCCTCCTTCCTGAGCCACCAGGAGAAGTGGGCACCTGAGCAGGGACCTTCAGGTGACTTAATTTGGTTCACCATTGCCTACTCAGTTGAAGAACGGGATTTCATTCTTGAAGAAACTCACGGAAGGGCATGTTTCTCACAGGTTCACATACCAATTTCTACAAAAATGTCCTTGGTGCAGCTTATGCCAGGTTATTATGGAGATTGTTCTTGAGTATTGCATGACGGCTACGAAGTTGGAACAGGCAAGCCATGAGTGTGAAAGCTTTAATTTATCTACCTCATTTATTTTTTATTTTTGTAGCCATAGTGTCTATTTTCCTATTTTCTGACCACTGAAGTTTTCTGATGTCTGTCTTAAACCTGAGTTGATGTGTGATGGGAGCAGCTGGACGTTTAAGGTATTTTCGTGATTCTTTTTTTTTTTTAAACTCCCCCCTTTTTGTATATGTAGTGCTGAAACGTGGTCTAATGGTTTAACAAGGAAGGAGAAAGAAGGACCTTAATTTCTGAATGGAGAAGTCTCTCTGTGGAAAAGTTGATCAAGACTGTTATCAAAAGTTTGTGTTGTTGCATCTGACTTTAAGATCCAAAAAAAAATTTTTTTTTTTTGCTACATTGTGCCTTTTCTCCTGCAATTGTAAGCGAACACAATGCTAGTACCTGTTTACACTGTGAAGTGGATATTGTTACAGAGAACACACCCGAGGCTTTCTCACTGTTAAGGAAATAATGCCCTTGTGAATGTATGCTCTATGGAGAAACCCCTGTAGTTTTACCTGCTGACGCTGTCTGTCTTGTTGAAGAATAAATTTTGGATGTTTTTTTCCTCCCCACCTCCAAAAAAAATCTAACGTATGACCATGGGAATGTTGCTGAGGTAAGGTAGAGGCTTGAGTAGGGGAGAGATGGCTCAGGGAAAGAGGATAAACTTCTGTAGGAATAGGAGTGCGGGATGAGGGAAGACCTGGGGATGGTAGTCCTGGCCTTTGTGTGGTGTCTAATATAAATAAGGAAAAAGGTCATAATAACATTGTGGATAGTCTCAAGGCAGATGGTAGGGTGAGGCTATGAATTGGGGAGATTGAAGTTTTGCAGGGTCTTGTCCGGGTGCATGCCAATTTTGGGATCCCTCTCATCGTTTTGGCTCTTTGGGAGATATGGATGTAGTAAAGGGCAGGAGAACATTTTACCTGGCGTTCTGGGGTTCACTCTTCATTTTTGCTGTTGAAGTGTAGATAGAGGTTGATATAGGAGCCATTTTATCCAGAGTATATACAGATTTCTAAGGCTCCCTCTTCCGGTTTGCTGATGGAGTTGTAGAAGGCAGTATTAGGCTAGCGGGGAAGGATTGTACGTAATATTTCCACATTGTTAGAGTTTATTCACTCCTGCCTATCAGTAGTTTTTTTCCAAATATTTCAACATTTCTGTCATAACACTACTTTGTGAAGCTGTCCAAATATTCAAAGGCATCAGTTGCGTTTTCTTTCCCATGAACATATCCATTCTGGAGCTTTCCATCATCCTTTCCCAGTTGGTACTGGTTACAATCTCCTTCAGTTTAGCTCTTGTCCTTTTACTATCATTGTGGGTATTCTCTTCACCTGTGTTGTATACTCTATTTCCTATTTCACTACTGTATATGCTGCAGCACATCAATTTCCAGAAGCTTCCTAAGGACGTATGCATGGAAAATACATCTTATGAAACCTAGCTTGTTTGAAAATCTTTCTGTTCAAGCTTTACACTTCAATACTAGTTAGGCTTGGTATAAAATTCTAGGTGGGAAATAATTTTCCCTTAGAATTATAGGGACTACCACCCTCCCATCCTGTTTTTCCTGAGTCTGGAATCTCGAAGTCTCCTTCTAGAAGGTTGGTAATCACAGGAATGGAGAAAGACACCTAAGGTGTCTCAGGAATCTGTACACCAACTTTTCAAGAATTGTTAGAGTCTATGTCTTGCCTTGTGTCTTTTTTTTTTTTTTTAAAGATTTTATTTATTTATTTGAGAGAGAGAGAATGAGAGACAGAGAGCACGAGAGGGAAGAGGGTCAGAGGGAGAAGCAGACCCCTTGCTGAGCAGAGAGCCCGATGCGGGACTCGATCCCGGGACTCCAGGATCATGACCTGAGCCGAAGGCAGTCATTTAACCAACTGAGCCACCCAGGCGCCCCGTCTTGCCTTGTGTCTTATCCTGTCTTTTGGTTACTGAGAGCAAATCTGATTGCTTTTTTGTAGGAATTCTCCTTTCTCCTCTGCAGACCCCCAGAGGAGGCCTCTCAACTATGTCAGTTAATCACTTCTCCAACAGCTTAACACTTCCAAAAGAAGTGTTGAATTGTTCCTCTCCCATTCTCTTTATCCTTGTTTTCTCCTTTTTTATTTCTTCACTTTCATTTAGTGGGATTTCAGGAGGAAGAGATAGTTGATGAATGTTATCAGTCTATCATGTTTGAAGAGAAATCAAGAAGCTTGTTTTGTTTTGTTTTAAAGATTGTATTTATTTATTTGACAGAGAGAGACACAGCGAGAGAGGGAGCACAAGCAGGGGGAATGGGAGAGGGAGAAGCAGGTTTCCCGCCGAGCAGGGAGCCCGACATGGGGCTTGATCCCAGGACCCTGGGACCATGACCTGAGCCGAAGGCAGACGCTTAACGACTGAGCCACCCAGGCACCCCAAGAAGCTTGTTATGTCATTAATAATTTTAGCCAGGGGGAAAAGTAGGATTTTTTTTTTTCTACCACTGACTTTATCTTTCTAATTATGGAGTTCCTTCCATCCTTTTCCCTACTATTTATAAAATTAAACTTGACAAGTTTCCGTCATTGATGAGACTGTAGGACAGAATACAGTGTAGATTTAATTATCAGTTAAATACAAGTTACACATACTGTTATCTAGATAGCATTCTTGTAGCATTTAACAGAAACAATAAAACTCTTCAGTTAGTACCATTCAATCTAGTGTTTCTCTTTTGGCATACATACCCCAAAGGAGGAAAAAAGTAAAATTGTATAAAGATTTTTATAGTACTACTTATATTAATGAAAAAACAATAATGATGTAATGTATGGTGATTAACATAACAATAAAAAATTTTAAAAAAATAGCCCAGATGTTTATAGCAGTATAGTAGGAAAATGATTAAGCAATTTCAGCTACATGATGGTAGCCTTTAAATGTTCAAGTATGTTGAATCAGCAGCACCTGGGTGTAGCAGTTGGTTAAGTGTCTGTTGGTTTTGGCTCAGATCATGATCTCAGGAGGGTTGTGAGATCGAGCCCCACATCAGGCTGCATGCTCAGTGTGGAGTATGCTTGAGATTCTCTCTCTCCCTCCCTCTCCTCCTCTGTGTGCATGCATGCATGTGCCCTCTCTTGCTCTCAAAATAAATACATCTTTTAAAAAAAAATATGTTGGAGCGCCTGTGTGGCTCAGTCGGTTAAGCGGCTACCTTCGGCTCGGGTCATGATCCCAGGGTCCTGGGATCGAGCCCCACGTCAGGCTCCTTGCTCAATGGGGAGCCTGCTTCTCCCTCTCTCTCTCTCTGCCTCTGTCTCTCTGTGTCAAATAAAGAAATAAAATCTTTTAAATAAATAAATAAATAAAAATATGTTGATTCACTATGTTGTACACATGAAACTAATATAACACTATGTTAACTGTACTAGAATTAAAATTTAAAAAAAGAAACATTTTCCTTTCATTAAGATATAAAAAAATAAAATAAATGCTCAAATAAGGAAATACTTATTCATTTACTTATATAATGTTAATTAGGTAAAAAAGGGCAGAATGCCAGATAGGTAAACTCTGATTAGTATTAGTCAAAATTACTGACAAAATTCAGAATTGATTCTGGAGTAAATATTTTAGGTTATTTTCTCTGTAAATATTTAGTTTATTTAAAAATTATTTTCTAAAAATCCTATTATAAGAATAGTATGATTGTCATAAAGTTAAATAAAAAATAACACTGATCCCAAACACAGCAACTGTAAACCCAGTACAAAATTGTTAAATATTAAAATTCCCCAAACTTTTCCCCAGTTCATTTTTTTTTTTTTTTAATTTTTATTTATTTGACAGAGAGAGAAACAGCGAGAGAGGGAACACAAGCAGGGGGAGTGGGAGAGGGAGAAGCAGGCTTCCCGCCGAGCAGGGAGCCCGATGCAGGGCTCGATCCCAGGACCCTGGGATCATGACCTGAGCCCAAGGCAGACGCTTAACGACTGAGCCACCCAGGCGCCCCTCCCCAGTTCATTTGTTAGAGGTTGTTACTTGAACAATTTGCTATGAATTATTTTGTTATTTGTTTGTATGCCACACACCTCCCTGACAATAATGACTACATTAAAGCAAAAGATGAGTATCATATTGTATTTTGGTAAATTCTTTGACTAGGAAGAGGAGAACTATTTTAGGAATGAATCTGTTGTAAGCATGACATTGATTTTTTTTTAAATTTTATTTATTTATTTTTAAACATTTTATTTATTTGAGAGAGAGAATGAGAGAGAGAAAGCATGAGAGGAGGAGGGAGGGTTAGAGGGAGAAGCAGACTCCCCGCTGAGCAGGGAGCCCGATGTGGGACTCGATCCCGGGACTCCAGGATCATGACCTGAGCCGAAGGCTTAACCAACTGAACCACCCAGGCGCCCCGATTTTTTTTTTTTTAAACTAAGACAGATGGGACCATTTATAGACTCAGAAAAACAATAAAAATGGTGCTTAATTATGTATTGGTTGATGTAGAATGGATGTTAAATTTTTCGGCTTGTTAATTGACACAGGAAGGGTATTAAAATTATTCTTTTATTATTCTTTTAAATACAATGAACCCAGTTTTTGTATTTTAATACAGAAAGCATTCTTGAGATTCAACAAAATTGGAAAGCCATCACTTAAGGTCCTGTAGATGTCTTGGCAAAACATAAGATTTATGGGATATACGATTATGTATCATATACTAAATTATGTATACTAAATCATTATACTAAACTATTTTTAAATTTCTCCTAAGGCTTCTAGACAAGCTGCAGGAATTCCGGGGATTACTCCAACTGAAGAAAAGTGAGTAGTTATTTTTTGGGGAATTCAGTAGAGTTAACTCTTAATTTTTGGTATTAAAACTAAAACCTATTTTTAGATTACAGAGGTTATTTAATTCCATTGTGTACTCTAAATTTATCTCTGGGCATATAGCCTGAACTTTGTTAAGAACAGAAAAGAGGGCTGTATAAATAAAAAAACTTTAATTGCTTTTGGGGTATCTGGCTGGTTCAGTCAGTAGAGCATCCAACTCTTGATCTCGGGGTTGTGAGTTTGAGCCCCACGTTAGGTGTAGAGATTACTTATGAATAAATAAATAATAAAAGGTTAAAACACACACATGAATCTTGAAATAGTTTGTTTTCACTTTCTCTAGCCAGAGAGTCTTAAAAATGGAAAGATAAGATAGAAGGAAAGAAGAAAAGAATGCCATAGCTGATCTGATATTTTAAATTAGCCTATGATGATGTTCATTGCTTTCTCAGAATGAGATGTTGCAAAAATTAGATCGTTTTCCATTGTCTGAGTCAGATGTTCCTTGTGTATCTTTCTTACTTGGCTTGAACTGTTATAAATCCTCAAAATATCAGACAAATCCATATCTGAATATAACCACAGAAACGAGAAGTCAAATTTAATTAAGTTTGGGATTTTGCAGTAATTTGTATTCCATGCACCTCTGCTCTCTTCTATTGACACAGTTAATTCAGAATCAACTATTGTTTTTCTGATTCTTCAAGTTAAATTTCTTATTTTTCCAAGTTATTTTGTCAAATGTTGCTCTTTTCTCAGGGATGGTAATCTTCCAGATATTGTGAACAGTGGAAGTTTGCACGAGTTCCTGGTTAATTTGCATGAGAGATATGGGCCTGTGGTCTCTTTCTGGTTTGGCAGGCGCCTTGTGGTTAGTTTGGGCACCGTTGATGTACTAAAGCAGCATATCAACCCCAATAAGACATGTAAGTTTAATTATTTTTCTAATTAGCTGATCCTTATCTTTTAAGAATAAACGTCTGGGGATGCCTGGGTGGCTCAGATGGTTAAGCATCTGCCTTCGGCACAGGTCATGATCCCAGGGTCCTGGGATCGAGCCCCACATTGGGCTCTGTGCTCAGCAAGGAGCCTGCTTCTCCCTCTCCCTCTGCCTGCCTGTCTGCCTACTTGTGATCTCTCTCTCTCTCTCTGTCAAATAAATAAATAAAATCTTTAAAAAAAAAAAAAGAATAAACGTCTCTTAGGAAGAGCCATACATTGTTCATGGGTAAGAATAGCTAACATTTATTGAATGCTTTATATTATGTGCCAGGCATTATGCTAAGGTCTTTATAATTATTACCTCATTTAAGGCATAGTATTGTAAAATGATTATTTTTTCCTTCAATTTATAGGTATATTGTAATGTAAATTCCAACAATGTAAATTCCAACAGAATTTTTTTGGAAAAAACAGTTCCAGGGTGCTTCTGTAATAGTAAAGGTACCTGAGCAGTCAGGAAACATCTAGAAAAGAATATTAATGAGGGAATACTCGTATCATCAGGTAGAGCAATGTGCTATAAATCTAGATTAATTTAAAGGCTCTTGTACTGTGATAAGGCTAGACAGATTGATGGAATAGAGTAGATAATCCAGTAGACAAACCAAGTATACATGGTAAAGAGAGCATTTTATGATAAAGGGGAAAAGTAATACATGGTTTTGGAAAACTGGTTAGCTATTTGGAAAAAATAAATCTGCATCCCTGCCTTAACTCTTTACATCAAAATAAATTCCAAATGATTAAATTTGAAGTCATAAAAGTATTAGAAGAAAACATGGTTAAGTATTAAATTGGGGGTGGGTGTTGATAAACCTTTTCTTACCATAACTTGAGATCTAGGGGCCATCAAGCACAAGACAGGTAAAGCTGTCTACATAAAAATGAGAAATTTCAGTACAATAAAAAACACCTTGAAAAGGGATGAAAAAGAGGTGGGAAAATGTTGGTCACATATTACTACACATGATGTGTAGTAGTTGATTACTGTATTTCTGTAACATAAAGGTACCATGACAAAGTTTATAAGAGAAATGGGGAAATTATTTACTACCCATATATATAAAGTAAATAAAAACTAGTGAGAAAATAAAAATAAAATGCAGTTGTAGAAAAATGGGCAAAAACAAGTTAATTAAGAAAGAAGAAATAAAAATGCCCAGTAAGCAAATGAAGATTTCAACCTCATTAGTAATTAGTGGGATGCAAATAAAAATGAGAGTTTTACCTATCTGACTGGAAGAGATGGAAAATATTGGCAAAACTCATTGTTGAGGGAATGGAGAAACATGGGATGTAAATATTTTACAAACCTGGGAGAGAAGGTTGACAGGATCTTTGACTTAGCAGTGATATCATAAAGAAGTTATAAATTGATATTCATGTGAATGAGAAAAGACATATTAGTATTATTTACAATAAAAATTTGAAGCAAACTTAAATGTTTTTCAGTGGCTGAGTAAAAGAATATATTCAGGCTTTAATATGATGACATAGATTTATTTTGTTTATCAAATATGCCTACTGTATGCCAACACTGTTATAAGCCATTTATACATATTAACTTATTTAATCCTTAGGACATCCTTATGAAATAGATATTAGTGAAAACTGAGATACAAAGAGAGTAAGTCATTGGCCCAAGGTTGCACAACTAATTAGTGATGGAGCTAGCACTTGAAGGTAGGCAGTCTGGCCTAAGTTTGTGCTCTTAATCACTAAGTTTTCCACAACATGGAAGGATGGCTCTGTCAGGAAATACACGGATGAGTAAAACCAGACATGGTCTCTGCTTCTGTGGAGTTTATAGTGTAATTTGGGGAGTAAGGGAAGCATGTAAACATTATTAAAATGATCATGCTAATGAACTGGTAAAGTGTGCTGAAAGAAGGGATTGTATTCTTTGCAAAATTTGACATACGTTTTGTCTGTCTCTGTCTGTTAAGTAATGTTGACAGCTGTAAAAAATCTTGAAAATGTTTAGCGGTATCTCTGTAGTGACATTTAGATGAATTTTATTTTCTTTCTATTTTACTGTTGTTTTAATTTTTTTTTTTTTTAAGATTTTGTTTATTTATTTGACAGAGAGAGAGAGCAAGCACAAGCAGACAGAACAGCAGGCAGGGGGAGAGGGAGAAGCAGGCTCTCTGCTGAGCAGGGAGCCCGATGTGGGGCTCCATCCCAGGACCCTGGGATCATGACCCGAGCCGAAGGCAGCCGCTTAACTGACTGAGCCACGCAGGTGCCCCAGCGTTGTTTTAATTGTTAATGTTAATTGTTAAATTGTTAATTTAATGACAATGTATTTTTTGTATGAAAACAATAGTCATTAAAGAAACACTTAAAAAATGGAAGAAGAAGAAAGAACAAATTTCTGAACTCGGCTAAATAATTTTAACTGTAATACTTGACCATTACACACAACAATTTTGCTTTAAAATCAGTGGAATGAGGGCGCCTGGGTGGCTCAGTTGGTTAAGCGACTGCCTTCGGCTCAGGTCATGAGTCTGCTTCTCCCTCTGACCCTCCTCCCTCTCATGCTCTCTGTCTCTCCTTCTCTCTCTCGCAAATAAATAAAATCTTAAAAAAACAAAAAATTTAAAAAAATTTAAAAAAAAAATAAAATCAGTGGAATGAGCTTTTTATAAAGTCAACGATATTGTTGTCATGTAGGTAGGAAATTTATGTAAGTATTAATGATTTATAGTGGAATTACCAATCAGGATATTGTATTCTTGCCAATTTTTATTGCCTCTTGAACTGTTCATACATAGGAAAGATAGTGAGGGGAGTTGGAAAGAAAGTTGCCATGCTCTCAGCTGCAACCCCCTACCTCCCTGATCTGTTTTTCTGCTAGAGTTTTTATTGTTGTTGTTTTGTTTGTTTTCTGAGTGATTACTTTGACTCAGAAATGTTTAATTTGTCTGTTTCAGCGGACCCTTTTGAAACCATGCTTAAGTCATTATTAAGGTATCAATCTAGTGGTGCAAATGTGAGTGAAAACCACACAAGGAAAAAATTATATGAAAGTGGTGTGACTAATTCTCTGCAGAGTAATTTTGCTCTCCTGCTGAAGGTAAGGTGGTAAGTTTGGCCCAGAATTCTATAATACAGATAAGGGTATATCTTTGACTATTAGTGTATCTTGTCTTTGGTACTTTTTATCTTACTTGTCTTTTTTTTTTTTAGATTTATTTATTTATTTTAGCGGGGGGAGCATGCATGGCAAGGGGGAGGGGTGGAGGGAGAGAATCTCAAGGAGACTCCTTGCAGAGCATGGATTCCCACTGCCAGGCTTGATGACCTGAGCCTAAATCAAGAGTCAGATGCTCAACTGACTGAGCCACCCAGGCACCCCTCTCACTTGTCTTTCCAAGCTGATTTTTATTCTCCTGAAGTTCTGAAACAAAACAACAACAGAAATCTTAACACCTATACTCCCTGTGTAAGTTGGAATGATGGGATTACTGGGCGTTTGCATAGACAAACTGAGTCATACTGGGAGAGGGACCTGACATTTTTAAGAAGTCCCACAAATTATATACAAAGATTGAGAACAATACTAATCCATACTATTTTCCTTTTGACCCTAAAGATCCGTGGCTGAGCCCTGTGTGCTACCTGACAGTTCTGTGTGTCCCAATAGGACTGTTCCAAACCTTCACCCTTACTTTAGTATTGCCAGTCCTAACCAACCCCTTTCCTTGTTATAGGTGGCCTTGCCTCCTGCTTTGCTGAGACCATAGAGTCCCTTACCTGTAAACTTCCCCACCAACAAACTCTATCCCTCTCAATCTTTTGTTCTTACTTCTCATTTTAAATCTTAAAGAATCCTTTCTTCTGTCCAAAACTAATCCATTTGTGCCCTTTAAAAATAATGGAATTTATAAAATTAATACATGGTTGCTGTAGAAAACACGGAAAATCTAACTTTAAAGAAATCATCCATAATTTCACTGTAGATGTATATATGGATGAAATCATACTGTATGTACAATTTTATATGCTTTTTCACTTTAAAACATATCATAGGGGCACCCGGGTGGCTCATTTGGTTAAGCAGCCGACTCTTGATTTCTGCTCAGGTCATGATCTCAGGGTCCTGGTATTGAGCCCTGCATTGGGCTCCACACTCAATGGGGAGTCTGCTTGAGGATTCTCCCCCTCCCTCTCCCTCTGCCCCTTCCCCTGCTCGTGCTCTCTCTTTCTTTCTCTAAAAATAAATAAATCTTTTAAAAAATATATCAGAAACATTTTATCATGTCATTAAAACTTTTCCAAAAATAACTAAAATTATGCTTACTTTTTTTCTGATAGTCATTTATAAACTATGGAAAAATTAGGGAAGTCTTAAGGAAAAAATAAACATTTTTAATGCTATTACTCAGTGATAACCATGTTTAACATTTTATTTTATTTTATTTTTTTAAGATTTATTTATTTGACAGAGAGAGACACAGCAAGAGAGGGAACACAAGCAGGGGGAGCGACAGAGAGAGAAGCAGACTCCATGCTGAGCAGGGAGCCGGATGCAGGGCTGGATCCCAGGACCCTGGGATCATGACCTGAGCCGAAGGCAGACACTTAACAACTGAGCCACCCAGGCGCCCCCATGTTTAACATTTTAAAATCCTTCCTATCATTTTTAGTCTTTTATGTACATGTAGAATTTTAGTCAGCATCATACTATATGGAGAGTTACAGACTCTGCACCTTTTTTTTTTTTTTTAGATTTTATTTTTAAGTAATCTCTACACCCAGCATGGGGCTTGAACTTACAACCCTGAGATCAAGAGTTAAATGCTCCACCATCTGAGCCACCCAGGCGCCCCTATTCAATGCAGTTTTAAAGAACATTTGTGATTTAGCTTGCCTGTTTTTCCAGTCTCATTTCCCATTCTCGTTTGCTTCTACTGTAGCCACACTGGTTTTCTTTTCTATACCTTGTTCTTTCCCATCTCAAGACCTCTGTATATGCTGTTCCCATTACTTGGATTGCCAGTTCTAACCACCCACACACCTAGTAAATGCATGTTCATCTTTCAGCTCTTAGTTTGAATGTCACTTCCCCAGGGAAGCTGTCTCTGATCATTCCACTGTCCCTAGGTAGGTCCCCTTTTAGTTGCTGTCATAATAGTCTGTACTTACCCATCACAACACTTTTCACTTGTTAATTACATTTTGTGTAATTCTTTGAATGTCTGTGCCCTAAATTGTATGCTCCATAAAGGGAGGGTCTATTTTAATTATGTCTGTATACTTGGCTCTTGGTGTAGAATAGACCCTCAGTAAATATAAGTCTAGCTCTTTTCTTCCAAGAAACATTTTTCTCATCTTGCCTGGCTAACTCCTCCTCTAGTCCCAAGTTTAGTTACGTACCCTTCTCTATGCACCTTCTCTAACCTACAGTAACAACCTGAACATACTTATATGACAAAATTAAATGGATTTTTTTCTCTCTCTCCCTTCTTCGATTGTGTTTTCCATCTACTTTTTCCTAATGTATGTGCCTCACGCGAAGTTACTTATTTTGTTGTATGTTTAATGAAGTTCATTGGAAATAGCATTATTTTATAGTATGAAGATTACGCTTGGGCACGAAGCTTTGAATCTTGCTTCTGCCATTTAGTATCTGCATGATTGTGTGTTACTTAGCCTTTGTGAGCTTTCATTTCCTCATCTCAATAACATCTACATTACAAATTTGCTGTGGGGATTATGTGAGACAATGATGTAAAATACCTAACAACAGGTCTTAGGACACAATAGCTACTCAAGAAATACCTCTCCTTTTTTTTTCTTTTTTTTTTGCTTGAGAAGTAGATTTTCCTACCATTTGTTGTTCATCCTCCTCCCCAATTCTTCTGTTCTCTTAACATTTCTCCTTGCTTATGTTTTTCCTGCTTTTCTGAAACACTTCCTTTTTAATGTTTCCAACTTTCATAATGCATTCCCTCTTTTATGTGAGTTGTTTTTGTTTGTTTGTTTTAGTAAGCTCTATGCCCAACATGGGCTTGAACTCATGACCCGAAGATTGGGGTTTTATAGTTGATGGGCCTATATCTGTCTCATTTTGGAGGGTTATATAGAAGTCTTTTCTGTTCTGTAGAGTTTAAATCCACATTCACTCCCAAGAGCACAAACACACCCCACTTATTCTTGCATTACATAAAGTAAATCACTTTTAAAATCATGGAAAATTTAAAGGAATAACTGTAGAATAGTATAACGACCATCCATGTCCTTATCACCAAATTTTAATAGTTATCAAATTAGACTCAATCTTACTTTATCTCTGCCCGTGCTTACCTCCCTTATCTTCTCTCTGGATTATTTTAAAGCAAGTTCCAGACATCATACCAATGAGGACATGCTTTTTAAATGGCCTAGCAGTGTAACTTTTTTGAGTTATAGAATACCTGATAGTTGTTAAGAGAATGTATTATTGACTCTTAGCCACTTTTTAAAAATAACATTTGATAAATGCTTAATGCCATTTTTTCCTTATCAAAGTTTTAATTGAAAATCACACTTCCTATTCAAGACTTGAGACTGGCTTGCTGAGTTTACTGGAAGCATTAATTAATACATTGGCTCCTCTCTGGACAGTTTTCCTCCTAAAAACAGACCAAACAAGGCCTTTAACCATGGCTGGATATTGATTAGTCTCTCTCCTTCCAGTTCCTATTTCTTCAGGGCCCTCAAGAGACTTATATACCAAATCCCCACCCTCTCGTTGTTCTCATTCCTGTTTGGTGTCTCAAGGTTCTGTATTGGCTCTGTTCACATCATGGTCTCTAAGCCTGTCAGGCTGCCTGCTTGGGTTGTCATGGCTCTTCTGTCATCCCTCATTATCCTCCCTGGAAACAGTTACATTGCCTTTCTCTAAGCATTCACCAGTCAGAATCTTCTTTTCTGTTCTGTTTAAACACATAACATTTGTCAGTAAACAACATCTTTTTGTATTTAATTGTATATCTCCAAGGAGTTTTGCCCATTTCTCTTTTGCTTTCATTGATAGAAATACCTTTTTCTTTTTAGTAATATTTATTGTTAAGAGCCTTAATTATTCTTTCTTCTCTGCATCAAACTAAGTAATTCTAACTTTTTAATCTTTTATCATAGGCTCTATTTCCCAAGCTTTCACTCTTTTGTGTTGTTGCTCTGTATTCCAGATTTTTCTCCTCCTGCCCAATTAAAGGCAAATCAAGATAGAAAATTATTTCCCAATTTTCACATTTCTTGCCATCATATTTTTAAGTTTTGGTTCATAGATTGGGTCCAAATGTAAGAAATGTGTTTCAGGTTTATATTGTCAACCCCATAGTACAAGCCAGTTACTTAGCTTAGGCATTAGTCAGAAATATCAGCTAAATGTTGAATCAGGAAGAACATGATTGAATAGTGCTGCTCTCAGAGCACCTTCCTCCTTCCTACCGAGAGTTTTCTTTGAGAGAATAGTGCTATTACCAGAGTTACCACCCCAAAATAAGTTGTACCCTTCATATTGACATAATAAACTTTTTGCCTTTTTTTGGTTTTTTGTTCAGATCTGAGTTCTGTGTTCTGATTCTTCTCTAATCCTCTCAAACCTCGTCCTCTGACTTCTCGCTCCTTCCTGTCCTGGCCATCTCTGCTCCAAGGCTGTGTGTAAACCTCCACTTTAACTCTGTGAGTGTAACTTCTCTCTTCTCTATGCTAAAACCCCATATTCTCCTGTTACTTCTGGGAACAATTCTGATTTAACAAGTATTTCTGGATTTTAGGATTTAGGACTATTGTCCAGAATCCTCTTAATTGACAGCTTAGTAATAGTTAATAGCGAAAATTATTGAGTTTGTTGGTTTAATAGCTTGTATGGACTCATTTAAGCCTCACAACAATTTGTGAATAAGTATTGTTATTTGCCCCTTTTTACAGGTGGTTAAATTAACTAGTCCAGGGTCATACAGCTAGTAAAGAGTAGGACCAGGATACCATCCCAGTCTGGCACATTTTTTCTCTAGCTCGGTTCTGCTACCCTGGGATGTAGTTTTGCTTGGCTAGTTTTTTTCCTTTCTTTTTTCAAAATCTTTT